ACCCGGGACGATAGTGGCTGCCCCCCAGTAATCCATTTTAACGTGGGCGTTCTCTGCGCGCGTCTGGGCACGATCGCGAGGTATGGTGACGAGGGAGCACACGCACACGACAAAGGTGACAATGGAGCCCAGCCAGAAATACCACCGCCACGACATGTACTGCGTCGTGGCACCACCCGTGATGATACCGAGGAAGAAGCCAATGGGCGCAAAAGCACCCCAGAGACTAAAAACCAGGTTCTTGCGCGGGCCGGGGCGATACGTCTTGCCCATCAACATAATGCTCGTAGGTAGATAGGCGGCCGGGCCCAACCCGCCCAAGGCTCGAGCCACAATGAGCATCTGGTAGTTGACACTGAAGCCTGAGATGACGGACCAGATGAAAAACCAGACGATGCCGGCATTGAAGACAACGTAGGCTCCGTGGATGTCGGCGAGGCGGCCGAGGGGCAGGAGAAAAGAGCCCGTAACCAGGGAGAAGACGCTCGCTGGCCAAGTCTGTGAGCCTTTTGGAATCTCAAGGGCCCGAGAGACGTTGGGAAGGATGATATTGAAACCCGAGATGAAGAATTCCTAAACAGGTCCACATTGTTAGAGGCCACCTTGAGAACAGCGTGCAGAGTGTGAGGGAACGTACAGCCATGAACATGGACACTAGCAAGGAGCTGCAGAAGAGAACCTCGTAGATCCCATTCCTGAAGATGGCGGGTCTTTGGCGACCGAGACGATCGAGGTCTAGGGCATCGAGTTCGGCATTGTCCGAGTCTGTCCTAGCATTGTTATCATCGGATCCGGAGCAAGGAGACTCCTCTTCTTTGCGGCTCATGTTGTTGGCAGCGGAGGCGGCTTGGACAAGAGTGCTCCATGATGGCGGATCGTGGATCTGTAAAGCGGAAAGTCCTTTATAAAGTATGTAAGGGAGTGCGAGATGCCTATACCAGGCTTTGGCGGTGGATGGCGAACGAAACTGGATTCAACGAATGCAATTTTTGGCCAGATCCTGCACGAGATGAGAATTTGGTACCAATTTCGGATTAGCGCTTTCAATCTTGACCCACTGATTGCGATTTCGATTCTAGACGGTGGGTACGCTTGCAGCTTAGAACCCGAACCGTTGAAATGCAGGTCCGATACGGAGGTGGACACTGCGCAAACACCAGACCCTGGAAAGAGTTGCGACTCTACGCTTTGACGTCGTGGGCGTAATTACACCATGTGTTGACTTGATTACAAAATATCGAGCTTGATAAGCAGAAGACCCGTGGGCTGATGCTAGGCATGCAACAGTTACTCTAGTAGTGCCACTTTGGGCCTAGCGGAAACTGCAATGGCCGGTGTCAGCCGAGTGGCGGGGCATTTAACGGGCTTCGGTTTACCTTACTAACCCGACCCATGTTCGATTCCAACCGCCACAGAAATTCGACGAACTCCCGACAACGGAGCCGTGCTTGACACCCACATCACCACCAAAGGTCCGCTACAGCCCACCTTTTCACCTGCAATGCAAATGCCCAGCTTGCGGGAATGAGGACGCCGCCTGCGCAGCCAAGAACTCTATGCCAACGCCTGCCCGCGTACCGATAGCCGCACAGTCCCCGGCCTGCCACAACTGCCGCCGTCGCCGACTGCGCTGCGACCGGTCAATCCCCTCCTGCCGCAAGTGTCTGGGCTCCAAGCAGGAATGCCTTGGCTATGGTCCACTCCTGCGGTGGGCGAATGCCCCTGCCGTGCGCGGCAAGCTTGTGGGACGACTGGCCCTGCACGGCATGAGAAACACGAGTCCACTTAGTGAACGACTTGGGTTATCGTCTCCAGTTAAACCGCCTCTCCTCGATCCCCTGCTGAGCCATCTCCACCGGAGAGCACGACACTATGTTTATCACTGTGAGCAATGATTCCCGGCCGCGCACAAGTCGCGTGTCATGATCGGTGATTCGGGAGGTTAGTTTGACTCACAGGTGCTATCGACAGTCGCCACGATTGTGTGCCGGGACCTGGTGTCCTTTGATCAGCAGGATCTCAACCCGTTCCGCGTCATCATACCTCTGGCAAGAAAATATGATTTCCTTGAAGCCATCATCGTAGCCACCGGAGCCATGCATATCGCAGCGCTGCACGGTGACCAGGACCAACCAGGACGGCCCGAGCTAGTTGACGCTCTGGTGGCTAAGGACAAGGCCATCAGACTGCTACGGTCAGCCGTCGACCACTTGACGCCTGAAAATCAAGCGATGGTTCTAGCCGCCACTGTCTTCCTCATCAACCTCGACCTGATCGACTCAGGCAAGGGGGGCTGGCAAGTCCACATCGAAGCCGCCAGTGCCCTCATGTCGTGCCTGCACAACCCTATTCATCAGCTCGACCGGTCACTCATGGCTTCCATTGATGCCATTGCAGCTGATTGCCTGACCTATAGAGTTCTCGGCTCGGCAATTAGCGGGGTCGCCCTGACATCGTGGGCCGACCATGACCTGGCCGAGTTCTTCTCCGTCTTACGACGCGCCGAGACATACAGTTACCATTGCTGCCCGCCCGAGATTCTTCACATCCTCCTGTTGGCGAGCAGCCTGTGCAGCGACGATAGTCCCACCCGGGTGGAGGAGGCTTTCTCCTTGATCTGCAGAGCACGCGCCTTGGATGTGGTGGAATGGGTACACAGCATCCGCGGACTCTCGGACCAGGACAACCTCGACGTCCGTGTCAGCATCGCCCTCGCCCACCGCGCAACAACCTGCCTATACATTCTCCTCGCCGTCCCGGATGCTGCTCCCTCTGCATCATCGCTGGATGTCCTGGTCCGAGAGGTGCTCGAGCACCTGGCGGCCGTGCCCATAGACCACATCCACTTGAAGAGCACCATATGGCCGACGTTTGTCGTAGGTGCCCAAACAGACGATCCGGTACAGCGTGCCTGGTGCATAGAGCGCATGCAAGCGGTGTGGTCCACTAACCCGTGGATGTGTCCTTGGGGATATATTCGAACCGCCGTGAACATGATGTACAATCTGTGGGATGCGCGAGATCGAGAGCCTGCTAAAGACGGAAGAAGGAATTGGCTGCTCGAGTTGAAGAGTATGAGGGAGAAGTGTTTGATTGTGTGAGGCTTTACGGGGGTATGAGGTCTCAACTCTTAGCTACTGGAGCACCGGAAGCGACAATTGTTGCCTTATCACAGCGGGGTTCCGTGACTTGTCGGGACAATGCCGGGAAAGCAGGCCTCATGAGTTTTCACCCATGGATCGCTTCCCCACATACGAGGACCTTGAGAAGTCGGTAAGTTACGCCAGATTCAATCCAAGGCCAGACCCAGCCGACTCATTGTCCCAATTTTCGGGTCGAATTGTTTCACAAATGCAGGGTCGGCATTGTAAGAGGTAAATCTTGAGCGAGATTGCACAACGTCTGTCAAGGCTGTCCAACATGGGGAGAACCTTTTTGGGTTCACACGTCAGGCGCCATCTTGCACCTGTGTAAAGTCTCTTCCTCTCCCCGGCGGCTGACTCGCTGAGCTGCTGCCGACTTGCCGACCCCCCATCATCTGACAATCTCGGAGCACTCGTTGAATGGTTCCTTTCGCACCCCGCCATTACTTTACACTTTATCATTGGCCTAAAACAGCCAGTGACGGCCACGGGTCGGAACCGCTGCAGCTGTCCATCATTGAGACGGGGAATTGGGAATTCCAGCATCTTCTTGTCCTACGCTCCCACGTTGCGATAGGTTTGCCGGGACGCAGCGAACCATCCCACGGTGCTGCACCTCGGGCACACTGCAGCCCTGCTTCTCAATACACGGACTTGAATTGGTCAATCCAACAATTTCTCGTCGGCACCCGCGATACCTGTCGTTGTTTCTCGCCTCGCAATCATTTCCTGCCTCATGTATGCCGCTGCCCGGTAACATGGTTTATAGAAACAGAAGCCCCTGTGACGATATTCGGTGAGCCCGATGCCTCCGCTCAACCCTTCTCCTTCTGTCAATCTCGGACGTATTCGATGACCCGCGGCCACGGGCAGCGACTTTAGTCCCCCCACGCTGCCCGAAGTATCCATCTCTGTCCCATGACACCCTCCACGCGAACCCCCTAGGCCAGCCCCGCAGCCCAATCACGCCCAATGTACCTCTCGCACCCAGAGTTTCCTATCCAAAGAGGGCCTGGCAGCGACCCGGCAACCGCTGTCAATTCCCCTACCGACAGCTTGTTGAGGCCAACACAACCCCTGACGGCAACAACAACACCAAAGACCACAAACTCTCCGCCATACCCCTCTCGCCGCCTCCATAGCAAGAATCAGAACCATGCCTCCTCTTCATCCTCCTTCTCCTTCTCTTCTTCCACCACCTCTTCCAGCAAGCAACCATCATCCCCTATACTCCTACGAAGCCGTGACGCCAAGACGATGCAGGCGCAGAATGTGACCATCGGCGTCGTCGTCGGTGTGCTCTTGGCCGCCTTCCTCGCAGGATTCTTCTACTTTGTCTGGCGATATCACCGGTCTATCCGTGTTCGTCGTCGCGGTTACCGTGGCGGGAGCCGCCGGCGCGACTCCAAGGGATCGCGCAGCTCGGCCTCGCAATCTAGTGGCGCTGCCCCTGCCACTGCTGCTTCCGCTGGTGGTGATGGCTAAGGCTTTGGAAGCTCTGTTTGACGTCGTCTAAGGGTGGGCAATGATGGAAGACGTTGACCTTTCTGGTGAAGGACCTGTAAATGGGTATGAGACACACTGCGGGGCAAGCATGAGTCGTGTGCAACTGTGTGCAAAAGGTGTAGTTATAGTGGTTCGAGAAGGTCCAGCAATTGCGTAGCTTACTTAGTATTCGAAACGGGAACAGAATCTATGTACAGGTATGAAAGATACACCCGAAATTGCTATCAACTACAAGTCCCAGGGAGACGGAGTTGGCAGATCGATGCCTCTCTCTTCCCTCGTAATGTTTTGATTAAAAAATAATGATAATCAAGAGAACTGCTCTTAGCAAGAGACAAACAGTCGATACTATGCCCACAGCCAGAATCGAACTAGCGACCTTGTCATTGTCTAGTTTTACTAGTGACACGCTCTACCACTGAGCCATGCGGGCTTCGTTAAAAATTTTGAGGGATATTCTGGTGATGTAGTGGAGACACAGTGGAGGTTGTGGTTCTAGGGATGGTCCTAAGCGGGTCTGGCGGGCGGCCTGCGACTCGGAATCGTAAGACTGACCTCATCTTGGCAAATAGCGAACCTCGAGGGAACAGAAGCTGGATTGGAAGGCCTGTTGTCGCGAAGGTACCATTGTCGCGGAGACATACGCTCCAGCTCCTTCCATTCCAGCCCCTGGTTTTGGTCGAAACGGTTAACTCGGCGCCCTGCCAGCTTCGTCAGCGAGGAACTGGTTCAGACCGGCGGTCGCGCTGGGCCCCTTCATCGCCTCGCCGGTTCCGACGATGTCGATGCCGCTCCTCTTCTGGTTTGTCATGGTTCCGGTCATGCTCCCGATGGCGTCGATGTATCCCACTCCTCGAGCCCTGTCCTGGAGGTTCCAACCCCCTATTCATCGCCATTCCCTCTGTGGTTGGTACTTCACCGCCGTTCCGGTCTATAGCCCCATTTGTCGCCCGTTCCCTTTGCCTCTCTCTCACCCAATCCTTCACCCTGCCCTCGGTCTGTTTCCTCGCCTTAGCTTTTTCTTTCGCCCTTTCCTTCGCCCTTTCCCTCGCCCTCTCCTTGCGCCCCTTTTCTTGGACCAGTCCAGGATGCAGATTCCTCATATTGTTGATACTTGCCTGCATATTGGCAAGCGAGCCGCTCAGCCGATCAGCGTCCGTTAAGAGCGCGTCTCGGACTGCGCAGTTGCGGTGCGAGACCGACGGGGCAGAGGAGGCCAGCCGCCTGATCGAGTCAGACGCACTTTGCAGTTCTGTCGTGACGCTGTCAAGCGCGGCCGACAACTCTGGGTCGACTGAGGCAGCGCCGGCGTCCTGTCCCGGGTTTGACTTCCCCCTCGCCACGGACCTCGCCCCAGCTTGTGGTGAGAGTGTGGCCGCATCGGCGGCAGCCGCCGCCGCCTCGGCCTTTTTCTTTTTGGCTTCCCGTCGGCGGCGAATCAAGGTGCGGATGCCAAACGCGAAAGCCCCAACCACGAGCTGGCTGACTAGGGCGTGCATGTCGCCACTGTCACTGCGCGGCAGGTCCCGGCTGCTGCCCCGTTTGCTCGCCGAGGATGGGTCTCTAGTTTTGCTGCGGCTAGATTTGCGGTGAGAAGTTCGGGACCGGGTATTGCTGGACTGTGCCTGTCGCTCGCTAAGCTTCTTGAGGGTGTAAGCGAGGACTGCACGGCCAACATGATGCAGGATTTCCGGCGGCTCTTTCGAGCCCTTGTGCTCGGATGATGGCTTCGGTGAGCGACGCGATGACGGCATCTTGAATTGTGTCTGATGTGCGTGGGAGATTAGGGGAGCGCAAACGTCTGACTAGTGGTTGTGGTGGCATAACACAATGGAAGCCACAGGTTCCCAAACGGGTTGAGGCTGGAAGTGATGTGAATCTTGCTGAACTGTGTTTTTGCTCTTATTCTTCCCCAGATTTTAAAGTGTTCTGCTCCACGCGATGCGCGTGGCTCGTGGTTGAGAGGTGTGACGAGTCTTGGATCAGTCAGGTGCATCGCGTGACCTGGTGATCAAGGCAACACCACCACCATAACCACCTTGCACGCCGAGCCATACATTTTTCTGAGTGACAAACACGGTCACATCAAAAACGTCTAAATCTGGGTGATCTGCGCCGCTCAACTCGGCCCGCCTAATACGCGGTTTCTTTTTATGTGGTTTTATACACTTAGGATTGAGAAGCGGCTGGGTTGATGCTGTCGGGACTCGGTCTCCTTCATCATAACATCGACCAAACTGTTCAATGCCGCTTCCCCAATCCTTGTCGACTCGCTTGTTCCGAGTCCCTGCCAACGTCAGCTTGCGGTCGTTTCGTAGGACAAGCTGGGAGTGCCCCAGGCAAACCTACAGGATGGATAATTCAAGCTTTCCCTTAAACTTCGCCTGCATATTGACTTCAACGTCCAAATCCATGTCAAGCCTCACCGCCAGGGCACCTCCGCGATCATATTGTTGTTGTGGTGCCACGGTCGCGTCGTGACTTCGCAACACCTGGCCACCCCGCGCGGGCTTTTGCTGTGCAAGCTGGCCGTTTCGGTCCAAACTCGGAACCTTCGCGATACTCTTAGTATGTTGCTCTGGGGCATCTTCTTCTTCAGTCTGCGTCGCAACATCCGAAACCAAGTTGCGAGTTTGACGCGACTCCGTCTCCGACGAGCGGCTTGTAGAGCGTTCACTCATAGTGTTATCGTTTGGCAATGGCGTTTGAGTGATCCTCGTAGCTTCCGAGCAGGATAACTGCTCGCGCTTATAGCTTTCGGGCAGATAAAGACGTAGCGAAAGCTCATAGTTAGCTCATAGTTGGCCCAAAAAGAGTGGGATTGGGCTGACACCTGAAGGACGATGGAAGGACAGGGCTGCTCTACTATTACATCACCTCGGACCCCGACGTCGATCCCCGATCTCGCCTCGAAGCCGACCACTGCACGGCAGAGCAGATAGCTACAGTACCCTACGCAATAGTTCCATAACATGGGAGACAAGGCAGCTCTGAAATGTCGACGAGAATCTATTGCGAATTCGTAGGGTGCGCTCCCAGACGACCCGAGCTTGGTTTGCCAACAATCGCCGCCAAAACGGGTATCATTCGTATGTTTGCATCTCGGTCTCTCCCAGACCGGTCTCCAAAACCCTACAGGTTTCCTGCAGCGGCAGCATCGGCCTTCTCTTTTGCGAGCTTCCCCAGCTTCTCTACCGCCTGCGTCAGAGCCGGCAGGTTCGCTCCTTGTATCGTAACGTTGCTGTTGACGGCGACCTGCTTCCCCTCCTTGAAGAACATAAAAGTGGGCATAGCCGCAACCCGGTACGTCTGCGCGACGGATCTGACGTTGTCAACATCCACTTTGGCGAAGGCAAGGAATCCGGGGATCGAGTATGTCGACGCCATCCTGAGAAAGTGCGGGGCGATCGCCTTGCATGGCCCACACCAATCGGCGTAGAAATCGACAATCACGTATTTCGTGGTCGCGAGGATCGAGTCGAAATCGCTATGCGATTCGACGTGCTTAATCGGGTCGGACATGGCGGAAAAAATTGGCACTCGCTATCAGCGCTCGAGAGGTACTTCTAGAGGCGAAACTCGATTATCGGTGGAAGGACAAGTCTGGTGTCCGCGGGCCTCCTGAAATTCGGGTTGGAAACGGAAAATGATGGAATCAGCTGCGAGAGACACGCGATGCGTGCATACGTGGGGCGCTGAATGCTGAATCATGCCGCGCAAACATAGACCCTAACCCTCCCTATTGCGCTGTTTCGACGACAATGTTTAACAAGCAGCAACAAACACAGGCTCAATAAGAAGCAATCCCAGACTTCCAGGGGAAAATTACCAGAAAAAGTCAAGCCTTCCTGACCGCCGAATGAACAAAGATATTTGACCTCCGGTTTAGTCGCGCTTCTTGGTTACCGATGATACAAGTACAGAGGATTCGGCATGGAAGAGGCTGCCAAGGATTGGTAAGAAAAAGCAAGTCAATCTTGATGTGTCTACACAACTATTACGGGGTATAAGACTCTGAAAAAATATTCTAATGGCGGTGAAGGAACCAGACCCTTGAGCAAGTTGCTGATCAGTGCACCTTAGTAATTTGACACTCACATGTACCTGTACACTCCGGACTGCACACAGCCGGCATAGTTCTCGGCTCCAGACCGCCTTCTTTCCACAATGGTCATCGTGGAGTGATTTTGTCTCATACATACATAACCGTTTCGAACAGTCACACACCCAACTCATAAAAGTTGAACCAGGGGATCATAGAAAAGAGCGAGTTCTGTGACTACTATACGAACCACGAACCACGAAGTACCTTACCTCTCATCCAAGACCATGCAGCTAAGCGTCTACACTTGATTGCGCGAAGCGGGCGAGAACATGAAGGCATATGCATTCAATATATTGATCTGACAATACGCCAGGTCCTCAAAACAAACGTGCCAGGATTCCTAGTTTACTTGCAGCATCAGATAAAGCTGCAGCTGTCTTCCCACACAATCCAATACACGTTCAAGCCACTGCAGGGGCGATTTTACAATTACCCCCCAGTTCTCCGCCACTTATACTGGCAGTATGTCAGAATTTCTTTGAGACTCCCCAGTTCAGCGTCAATAGGTACAAGCAACTTAAACCTTGCTTGCCGCCCAAACTGCTTGCTTTCCTAGGGAGTTTGCGCCTTTAAGGATTGCTTGTCACGGTGCTCTCAATTGATTAATCTTGAGTCTAGTCCTGCTTCCTTTTTTTTTTTTTTTTGCGTGCTTTCTCTGCCCAGGTGTCTAAATACAATTGAATTCAGACACTAAGACTAATGTTAGTATTTCAAGTCAGCTGCAAGAACCAGACTAATGCCGCATTTGTGGGCGCGAGCATGCATTCATCTGACGTACTTGGCAGCGATGGACTTAAATCCGAGGAGAGCCAACTGAATGCAGGAAGGAGCAGTTGAGGGGCGCGAGGGGAAAGAGAAAAAAATTTTCGACGAGTTTCAAGCTCTCACCAACAGGCGGGAACCTTACGGGTTCCCGCCTACAAAACTGGAGGTTCCCACGTTCAACGTTTCCTTGAACCCTTTCCTTCCCGACCCCAACCGTTTCTTCCTTCCCAACTTGATCTCAACGTCTGTCCGGGCGCCGGCGACCCAAAGCAACACCCACACATACTCACACACCTTCCCAAGTCTGACTTGAGCGCATCATGACTTCACCTACCGACCCGCACAGCAAGTGCTTCTCGCACATCAACGGCACCAATGAGCAGCTGAGCGATCGCCTTGCCATCTCAGAACTTTGCAAGGGCTGGCCAGTGTACCGTGACGCGTCCGAATGGAAGAATTACCGCAACCTTTTCACCGAAGACGCTACAGTTTGGACGAGTAAGCCATGGGTCACCAGTAACCTTCCGTCTCGACACAAGCAAAACTTAGGCTAACCGTATTTT